AAAAATAAAGCTATAAGTATTCAATTGAGACAGACTGCCTCGTTGGCCGAGTAGTCGCAAGTGCGACTGCCGGGCAACGGGTCTCGGGTTCGAGTCCTGAGTCGGGCAAAGTATTACTGGGTTTTAAAAAAATCTCAGTAGTAGGTAGTTAGTAGCACGGAACCTGGAATTGTGCCTGATATAAGGCAATAGGCTCACCCCCTATTACACGGAACTCATAAGATAAATAGTGAAAAGTGGGTGTTACATTGTAACAGTGGCATTAAGGCCCATCATGTGCACCTCAGTGCCTACCCCCTTTCGGAGATAAAAGGCGTAATATTATGTTGTGTTATGTAAGTATACAAACCAAAAGTTCATATTCAAATCGCTCCAATTACAAATAATGAGCAAGTAAATTGGTTTAAGTGCGCTATATATCAAATTCTTAACTCACGGCTCAGTTATACCATTACACGTCTAAAAATAAATTCTATGTAAATCACTTAATAACTTACACACATGAATTTTATATTGTTAGACTATAACAATAGTTAATGTTTTGTTATTTGACTAACGAGGGAAGCAATTAACTGAGTAATGGGAAAAATATTTTTGAATAACGACTGTGAATAGAAAACTATAAAAGGCTCTACTGAAAAATCCTTTGTCGTACATAATTGGTGTAGTTTTAAAAATATCAATGCCTGTATTATTACTATGCTGCCATATAGTAATATATAGCCAGTATATATTAATATACTGGTTTGCCTTCATAGTTCAAGTTTTGGTGACCTTGCTATGATACTATACATATAGCTATGAATAGACCATTTGGTCTACTAGCTATATGTATAGTATAAACATTTTCATTGGACATGACTACCTCGACCAAAATGGCCATCATCATGAGGTTACCGTAGGCTCAATCCCCGAATCCCCAACAATCTTCAAATTCCTAATCCCTAAAAGGTCGGTAACGCACTTGTAATATCTCTGGGGTTTCGGGTGTAGGGTGTAGGTTACCGTAGGCCCAATCCCCGAATCCCCAACAATCCTGAAATTCCTAATCCCTAAAAGGTCGGTAACGCACTTGTAATATCTCTGGGGTTTCGGGTGTAGGGTGTAGGTTACTGTAGGCCCAATCCCCGAATCCCCGAAAATCCTTAAATTCCTAATCCCTAAAAGGTCGGTAACGCACTTGTAATACCTCTGGGGTTTCGGGTGTAGGGTGTAGGTTACCGTAGGCCCAATCCCCGAATCCCCAACAATCCTCAAATTCCTAATCCCTAAAAGGTCGGTAACGCACTTGTAATACCTCTGGGGTTTTGGGTGTAGGGTGCAGGTTATCGTAGGCCCAATCCCCGAATCCCCAACAATCCTCAAATTCCTAATCCCTAAAAGGTCGGTAACGCACTTGTAATACCTCTGGGGTTTGGGTGTAGGGTGTAGGTCACCGTAGGCCCAATCCCCGAATCCCCAACAATCCTCAAATTCCTAATCCCTAAAAGGTCGGTAACGCACTTGTAATATCTCTGGGGTTTCGGGTGTCCATGGCCGGCGGCGATTTCTAACCATCAGATGATCCGTCTGCTAGTTTAGGTACAGACTCTTTCGATAAAAAAAAATGACACGAGTGTTACTGAAATACTGATACGAAACACCGGGACGACAAGGTATTTAGATAATAAATAAGTATAGTAGGTACTAATTCATCCCTTTGTTTATTGTTGTCCGAAATATCAGAGAGTTTTCTTCCATTCTTTCAACACTAATCATTAGTAGCTCGAACTATAACAACCATTGTGAATATTAAAATGTTTCTCATGTTTCATCGTCAAATAAATTAAGATGGATTTCTTTGGAAGTTTGGAACCAATAATCTTATACTCTTATACGATTATATAAAGCGGAAGAGTTTGTTTTTTGTTTGTTTGAACGCGCTAATCTCCTTAACTATAAGTCTGATTTGAAATATTATTTTTGTGTTGGATAGCGCATTTATCGAAGATGGCTATAGGCTATAAAACATCATGCTACAACCAACAGGAGCTGAGCAGAGCTTGTGAAACCGCGCGGAAGTAGCTAGTCTTTATATATATAATTCTTCTGTGAGTGTGTATGTCACTGAACTTCTCTCAAACGACTGGACCGATTTTGATGATTTTTTTGTGTGTGCTCAAGGGGATCTAGGAATGGTTTAGATTCACAAATCAGCCCGGCAGATGGCGCTGCAGTCGATGTCTAGGTTATTTATCCTAAACGGCTGAACTAATTTGAATGAATTTTTGTTATACATTCAAGTGGATATGCAGGACAACGTCTGTCGGGTCCGCTAGTATTTTTATATGATTGTAAGCAGATACTTAATAAGAATTGAAAATGATTAGCCACATTAAAATAAAGAGGAAATGAAAACCTTTCTGTATTAGTTGGTCTTCTTAAAATCAAGTTTTTAGCTGAAGAATAAATAGTGATATATAGAAATAGGCACATAAGTATATCATTATCTAGGTGGCGGTGGCTTTACCTATATCAGGAGTGGAATAGTGGTGGGTATAATAACCTGGGTGTCTTCAAGGTCCGAGTGAATAGGTTGCTTATGGGACGACGTAATCCATCGTAGACCGCACCATCGCTTATCACCAGGCCAGGCGAGTCGACAGCCTCAATCTTAATCAAATATAAAAATGATACAAATTGTCGAAGATTGGTCCATTAGCAGGGATAAAAGGACAATAATTTTCGACAGTTTATAGTTTAAATGTCTACGGAGAGCCTTATCAGTTTTGTTAGGTGTAATCGTGATCAGTTTCATTGGTGAAAATGACCTTAGACATCCTACGTACTCAATAAAATGCATGGTTTGAAAATGAATCATGAGGTTTAACAATGGTTATTTAGCTTCCGTATCACACGAAATCAATGCCCATTATAATAACCATGCTGGGATTTCGATCATAAATAACAACATAAATGGTTCACAGTACATCATTCGAATTCAATTTGAACCTATTCGAATTTACAACCGATTAATCAATAACTATATCGATTTATTTATCGATTCATTCATCAATAACAGGAAGCATCGACACTCATAAGCAAAGGAATGATCAGATTGTGCCGCGTTTACATTGAAAGTGCGATCACGTACTAGCTGACACTAACTGTTAGCTAGGGAGTTTGATATTCATCGACTATTTACTATTAACATTCCTGCGTGTGCTAAGCTTATAGAAGCAATGTATTAGCACTTTTATACTGCCGTGTGCAAAGAGTCCATGGCTAATAAAATTAATTGAATGAAGCTTGAGATGTGCAATCCCTCGGTATGTGCTATTAATGTCACAGGCTGGATTTATGACTAGCTTGCAAGCTGTTTCTTTTATTAAAGAATATAATGATTTGATTAGATTTATTGTTTGTTGGTAATAATGTTCCTTACATAAATTCCAGTCTTTGATTGGCGCTGCGATCAATCTATTTATTGGTACACGAAACTTGGAAACGTTTGAATCTAGATTTCGGAAAGCAGTATGATAGGTACCTAAGCTTCTTCTTCTACACTGGCACAGACCACAAGGTGTAACTATTGGACAGTTTTTTGAGGGGGGGGATCATCCAATGACTATTCCCGCCTTGGGTGAGACGAGATCCGTCCCACCTCATGTCAGACTCTTACTGACTAAAAACCACCCTGTGGTCAAAAGACTCACGAGTACCGCTGCCGAGGAAATCAAATCATTCACCTTATGCTCAATTTTCCTTTCTTCCGATGAAACCCAAGAAGACTTACTAAGATTAAAAAAAACATTTTTGATACAAAGGTAAAGTACAAAAGGTAGTTTAAAGTATTTCAGGGAAACCGGTACAATAATTAGTTATAATGCAGTATACCAGGTCAATGACCGCGGTTGTCGCGAACAATGACGCGACAGCCTTTTAAGTGCAAGCTGTCTTTACAGAATTTCAGAAAAAAGGATTGGATATATGTACACAAGTAGTACATCGAAGTTAAGAATAATTACATAGTTTCAAGTTGAACTTCTTTGGAATAGAATGTATAATTTGGTTTAGTTATCGTTGCTCAAAAACTTAAAAGTTAATACCTATGCAATGAACTTAGAACAAAAGTTTATATGGTGGCTTTGACGAACCTACTACAAAGTAACTTATCGCATAACATAATTTTTCTCAGTCATTACTTTTATAGCTTGGAGGTAGGGTCAGTAAGATTCTATGACAGTGCTCTTATGTTTTCCCAATCCTGGCGAGGAGGACCCATGAGGATTTACTAACTTGAGGTAAAAAAAATATAAGATGAAGTAACAATAGTCGATCCCTCATCTGGTCGGCATGGTAGTGAACCTCATCAACTCTAGCAAGAATGCTATCTACACGGTAATATATGAATATAGTATCAAACTTTCTCAACTATTTGTACTACAGGTAAAGAATTGATAAGAATCGTTCCTTTTATCCGCCCGTACCTTCAGTCGTGGGATCAGCGCGACCTAACACGACAACCTTGAAAGGTTTCTCATTATGCCTTCATGAGTAAATTCTCAAAGGTCACCAACTCTCAGCATTGTTCTAAGTTCTTACATTTTAACCACAGATAATATCTAGGATATAGGTACCACAGTGTAAGTAAGGAAATAATTACATTTTAAATCTGTGAGATAACTAATAAAGAACTCGACCAAAATGTGGGAACAAGGTCATTTAATCAGCTGATACAAACGAGTTACGGCAGACGGCAGCCCTCTGACTCACGCATGCGTAGTGACAATCTCTCAGAATTTATAACAAAATATTCTAGAGAAATGTAAAAGCGGTTGATGAATGTAACCGCAGAATTCTTAAACGCGGTCTACAGAAGCGGGTCACTGGCTCGGAATTTCGCATGTCAGCGACGTGTTGTTGGCACATTTTTGCCAAGGAAATTGTATGTTTCCATAGCGCTAAGTATCGGGGTGGTTGCCAGAAATAAAGCTGCAGTGCAGTAGTGAGCTTGCAGCGGCAGACTGCGGTGTGCTGGCTCACCATTCATTGTGATGGCGGGAGGTCGATACGTCGCCAGTGTCGCCGCGCCTTCTGTGGTGCGCGGTCGTAATTTACCGGCTGCCGGTCCGCGCCGCTCGTCTGACATTTGTGAGCACTGCGCAACCGACTGATATCGACAGTGAAGCCTTTATTTATAAACAAATTGTAATTAATTGTGCTTTTAATTATTTTATAACGCCAGTTTCATTCATGATCAAGAGTTTCAATACTTTGTTTAGTTATGATAGTGAAATTAAAGACGATACAGTATTTATTTGATGTTTTACGTGAAAGCGCACGTGACGACAGACAGTATTACATAAATATTAAATAATATGGACACAAATTTATTTGTGAGCCGAATGAGCAGTAAGTACACATGTTATTTATGCACCCAGAATGTGATTTATGATAAACTTAGCATTTTATTTAAAGAATTGGCGACAAATCGTTCTCACACAGATAAGTGTTATTAAAATCATTTATTTAGGTACAGCCTGAAGTCTTAAAAGCAGCACCTGATAAGAGTATCAAAAACAACCTACTTTTTAATTTAGTTTCATGATAATTTACGAGCTGAGATATTAAAACAAATCCATAAAAAAATAAGTTATGGTAAGGCTATCAATGCAGACTACTTTTTTTGAAGAATCGATTATCGTGGGTTTCGTTGAGAAAGTTGTTCAGGATAACGAGTGAAATAATATTCTGCAAGGATGACATGTGGAATGTGTTGAAATAAATAATACCTACTTAATCAACCTGTGTAGAGACGTATGGGTTACAAGGACATTGTGAATTAATTTCTGATGACAGAGGATACATAGGAGCAGGCATTCAAACACCCACACATTCTGTCACAGCACAAATATGACACACTTGTTTATCAAATTAAGAAACCATACAACAATGAGGTAACATGACAATGGCAAAATTAACTTTCTATTTTAATAAACACAATCCTGGCAACATATAAATTCAATTTAAAAATATAAGAGATTTTGTTTATTATCTTTAAAACAGATTTGAATTTGGAAGATCTGCAAAAAAATCTTTGTTTACGTTCACAGTTCACACATGTGGTTACTAAGTAATGAACTACTTACCTAATTATAATAAATAGCAAACAATATTATGCTTATTATAACAAATGAGAAATCACGATTAACAAACAATTATATTTCATTTGACACAAACAAAGAACGATTTTAAGGATTTTATTTTTAAGGGCAGGGACGTATTCTAATGCAGAAAAATCGATACATACAAAATTTCGGTTATTTTATTTATAATTTTAAAAAGCATGCTCGGTTCATAGACAGGTAAACGACATGTCGTGTTACGTGCTATAAAATCCATCCGAATGATCGCTTTGCGTGACTAGCTTTTGTTTGAATTTATATCAGGACAACAACACAGACTATTGTATTTACCGACTAAAATTACATATTGAGGATTCTACTTACATTTTTTTATTAATGGTATAACTATTATTCTTTTTTTATTCGTAAGAGTAGGTACTTATTTTTACTTTTGTCATTAGAATTGTTTGTAATTTCTATTGCGAACTCTATGTTCGCAATAGAAATCAAATACCCTGAGCTATTATAAAAAATACTGCGTTATTTGAATTAAAAGTTAATGTTATTAAAATATTAAACCGATTATTTTTTACA